ACTACTACTACTATTACTACTACTACTACTACTATTACTACTACTACTACTACTACTACCACTACCACTACTACTACTACTACTATTACTACTACTACTACTACTACTACTACTACGACTACTTCTACTACCAACTACGACTACGACTACGACTACGACTACGACTACGACTACGACTACGACTACGACTACGACTACGACTACGACTACGACTACGAACTACTACTACTACTACTACTACTACTACTACTACTACTACTACTACTACTACTACTACTACTACTACTACTACTACTACTACTACTACTACTACTACTACTACTACTACTACTACTACTACTACTACTACTACTACTACTACTACTACTACTACTACTACTACTACTACTACTACTACTACTACTACTACTACGACTACTACTACTACTACTACTACTACTACTACTACTACTACTACTACTACTACTACTACTACTACTACTACTACTACTACTACTACTACTACTACTACTACTACTACTACTACTACTACTACTACTACTACTACTACTACTACTACTACTACTACTACTACTACTACTACTACTACTACTACTACTACTACTACTACTACTACTACTACTACTACTACTACTACTACTACTACTACTACTACTACTACTACTGCTGCGGAACAGGGCCGTCGGCCCTGTTCTGCCGGTTCTGTTCCGCCAGCCCTGTTCCGCCGAGGCCCTGTTCCGCCGAGGCCCTCTTCCGACCAGCCCTGTTCCGGCCCGCTCTCTTCCGCCGCGGCCCTGTTCCGACCGGCCCTCTTCCGCCGAGGCCTTGTTCCGCCCAGGCCCTGTTCCGCTGGCCCTGTTCCGACCGGCCCTGTTCCGCCGCGCGAAAGTTCCAGGCGCCGGGATTGCGCGCCCCTCTCGCGGCGGAACCGGGCCGGGGCGGAACCGGGCGGGTCCGAACCGGGCGGGTCGGAACCGGGCTTGGTCGGAACCGGGGGTTGGTCGGAACCGGGCATGGTCGGAACCGGGCGGGTCGGAACCGAGCGTCGGCGCAACCAGGCGGGTCGGAACCGGGCCTGGTCGGAACAGGGTCTGTGTCGGGAGGGTGGCCCGGGAGGGTGGGCCCGAGAGGGTGGGCCCGGGAGGGTTCCCCGCAGGGCGGGCCCGGGAGGGCGGGCCCCGGGAGGGTGGCCCAGGAGGGTGGGCCCGGGAGGGTGGGCCCGGGAGGGTGGCCCGGGAGGGTCCCCGACGACGGGGGCGGGCCCGGGAGGGTGGGGCCCGGGAGGGTGGCCCGAGGGTGGGGCCCGGGAGGGTGGGGTCCGGGAGGGTGGGGCCCGGGAGGGTGGCGCAGGGCGGGCCCGGGAGGTTGGCCCGGGAGGGTGGGCCCAGGAGGGTGGCCCGGGAGGGTGACCCGGGAGGGTGGCCCGGGAGGGTGGGCCCGGGAGGGTGAGTCCGGGAGGTCCCCCAGGGCCCAGGGCGGGCCCGGGAGGGTGGGGCCCGGGAGGGTTGCTCGGGAGGGTGGCCCGAGAGGGTGGGCACGGGAGGGTGGCCCGGTAGGGTGGGGCCCGGGAGGGTGGGGCCCGGGAGAGTGGCCAGGGAGGGCGGGCCCGGGAGGGTGAGCCCGGGAGGGTGGCCCGGGAGGGTGGGCCCGGGAGGGTGGCCCCGGGAGGGCGGCCTGGGAGGGTCCCCGAGGGTGGGGCCCGGGAGGGTGGCCCAGGGCGGGCCCGGGAGGGTGGGCCCGGGAGGGTAGGCCCGGGAGGGGCCCGGGAGGGTGGGGCCCGGGAGGGTGGGCTCGGGAAAGTGGCCCGAGAGGGCGGCCCGGGAGGGTCCCCGAGATGGGGCCCGGGAGGGTGGCCCAGGGCGGGCCCGGGAGGGTAGCTCCGGGGGTGGCCCGGGAGGGTGGCCCGGGAAGGTGGCCCGAGGGTGGGGCCCGGGAGGGTGGCCCGGGAGGGTGTGCGGTGGGCCCGGGAGGGTGGGCCCATGGAGGGTGGCCCGGGAGGGTGGCCCGGAAGGGTCCCCGACGGGGGGGGGCCCGGGAGGGTGGCGGGAGGGTTCCCGACGGGGGGGGGCTCGGGAGGGTGGCCCGGGAGGGTCCCCCAGGGTGGGCCCGGGAGGGTCTTCGAGGGCGGGGGGGGGCCCGGGAGGGTGGCCCAGGAGGGTCCCCGAGGGTCCCGAGGAAGAGGAGGGAGGGAGAGAGGAGGGGGGAGGAGGGATGGAGGGAGGACGGCCACGAAGGGGAGTGCCCACGCCGGGGGGGTCCAGGGGCCGCGATCCACTCGCGCGATCCGGTTCGCGATTTAATTCGACAGGGTCGCGATATCGGTCCGCGATTCGATTCGGCGAGGCCGCGATCTGGTTCCCGGTTCGATTCGCCTGCGCAGGCGAATCGATTTGGGAACCGCGCGGTTCGCAGCGATCCGGTTCCAGGCGATGCGATTACGATTTCCCGACGGGGGCGCGCGGGCCCTGGCGGGGGCGCTGCCCTCCCTGCCCGGCCTGCAGGAGCTGTACCTGGCCGACAGAAGCATCGGCAGGGACGGAGAGGCGGCGCTGCGGGCGGCCTGGGGCAGCCGGGGCGGGCGGCTGATGGTCTGAGCCAGGGGAGTGGCGGGAGTTTAATCCAGGCGCCAACTGCTGCAATTACTATTACACCTCTCCCCGCGTTTTCCCTATCTCCCCCTCGTCTCATCTTCTTCTCTTCGTGCTCCTCCATGAAGGGCTGCGCCCACTTAGAGCGCCAAAGTGCTAAGCAGCAGTGCGTTGCTTAGACAGGCCCAGGGGTAGGACTCGATGCGATATGGAGCTCGTCCGCGCAACATTTGTTTCACTTGTACTGGGCGCGGGTGCTCCAGGATTGGCAAGTTCTTGCCACCCATACTCAGCAAGGGTCCGGTTCGGCGGCGGGCCGGTTCGGTTGCACCGGTTCGGTTTCGGCACCAGTCGGGTTTGTTAGCCGGTTCGGTTTTCCTCGGGACGGTTCGGTTTCGGGCGGTCCCGTTCGGGCGTTCGAAAAGTTGGCGCGCCAACGAGTATTGTTGCGTGTTGCGGCCGCGGATTGAACCGCGCACAAAACATGAGCAGGAGCGGGGGGAGGAGGGGGAGGAAGAGGAGGAAGAGGAGGAAGGGAATGGAGAGGGGGAGCGAGAGGGGAAGAGGGAGGAGCGAAGGCAGCGGCGACGATGAAGGCGGCGTCCCGACGGCTTGAGCGCCGACGGCGCCTTCCCCGACGGCGCGATTTCGTCCTCTGGAGGGGAGGTTGTTTTCGAGCCCTGGGGACGTCGCGCTCGGATGAGCCGTCGCGGGCAAAAATACAGATCGTCGGATATCTAAGTGAGGCCGCTGCCTCGCTTCCACCGCCTAGCCGCCGCCGCCCAGCCGCCGCCGTCCTCGCACGTCGCCGTCGTCGTCGTCCCGCGCCTGCCCGAGAGGTCCTGGCCGACCCGGGTGTCCCGACCAGCTAGGGGGTCCAGACCTGGGGTCCAGACCGGGGAGGGTTCGGATGATCGGGGGGTCCGGACCGGGGGTCCAGACCTGCCCTGGAAGACAAAGCCTCGTGGCTATTTTTGGGCCGCGCTGGTGTGGAACTGTCAAAACGATTTTCAAGTGTCCGGTCGTGTCTATTTCCATGTCCCGCGCATCATATGTGTTTTCAATGTTTCGTTGGCGTTATGATGGGCACGGTGTGTATCTTAAGCGTTTTAGACATGTTTAATCATTTTGAGCCACGGAATTAAACATGTTTAGCCACGAATATCCACAAAATAGCCACGGCATGACTTTTAGCCACGTTTAGCCATATTTAGCCACGTATAGCCATGTTTAGCCACGGGCACCAACGAGCGGATTGCATGCCACAATTGCAGCCACGTATCCGAATATGTGCGAATGACGGTGTGGAAGTTCTAAGCTGTGTAACACAGATGAGGGTTATCCATTACTTTGGGAAGGAGGAAAGGAAGACGGAGGAGCAGCCAGAGGATGAGCAGGAGGAGGTACGGAGGGAGAGACGAGGAGGAGGAGGAGGAAGCGGATGAGGGGGGAACGATGAGGATCAGGAAGAGGAAAAACATATGTGGACGAACAAGGACACCACGACGAATAATGATAATGATAATCGTAAAACGAATGAGAAAAATAAGACGAACACCAGCAAGAACGATGACGAAGACGACGACGAAGACGACGACGACGGCACTGGCGGCGGCGGCCGACGCGGCGGCGGCGACTGCTACGACGACGACGACGACGACGACGTCAGGAGTCAACCACCGAGGTCTTTGCAAGTCTTTCGCTAAGGAATTGTGTTGGAGGCTTCTTGGGGCCATCGGGGGGAGGCCAGTTTGGAAGCCTCTCGGGCCCTCTTGGGGTTCTCTTGGGACCTTATTGGGACTCTCTTGGGGCCCTGTTGGGGCCTTTTTCGGAGCATGGGGCCATCTTGGAGGCCATCGATCATCAGAGGGGAGGGTCGCGGATTCCCCTTTCCCTCTGGAGCCCGACATTTGCTTCTTGGCGCCCTATTGGGGCGTTTTTGGGGCGGTCTTGGGCGCTATTGGGGCCGTGTTGGGGCCTTCCTGGGCACCTC